CACACACACACTCGCACACACACACACACACACACACACACACACACACACACACACACATACACACACACACACACACACACTCACTCACACCCGCACTCGCATACATACACACATATATACACATATACATAGATCTATGCACAAACACTCACATACACAAACATCAGGAGCGATTCGTCCATAGAGCACAGTCGTGCTGTGCCCTCCCAAATGTCTCTAATGTTCTATTACGAAAAGAACCAACAGGCCGGAAATAAAAGAAGCCAGAAATAAATACAAGCCAAATATTATATCAAAGCTGGCGCCTTAACTGCCATTTTTGAGTCTATGGCGCCGTAAAATATCTAATGTGCCATGCCAAAGTCCACGCACTTTAACTAAACATAGTAGGATATTCAACAGCGGCAACCTGACCTATAAATCGCTCTTTGGGATAACCCAAGCGATGACGACACTCGTAGCAAGTTTAGCGGTCCATTAATATTAATAAAAACGACACATCTCAAATGTGCACCCTAAAAACATAACCCGCAGTAGGCAGTCTAAAAATAAACGCGATAGAATGTACACTATCATATGCCAAAATTATGTGATTCCCTGAGCAATCCAGTGGAGTGCTGAAGTGGATTGTGATTGGTTCATTGTCTTTCCGCTATTTTAAGTGACTCTCTGGCCGTGTACCTGAGGGAGTTGAACATGGCCTACTTAAGTCACCGTCCTATCAGTTGTGCCCTCAATAGTGGAGTGGTGAAAGTTATTAATTGAGTGTTCACTTCCAATGCAGGATGAAGAAATTGATGTTTAGTTAACAAACAGATTTAGTTCTAGAAATCAAAGCGACGAGTAAAAAGAATGAAAATATTTTAATAAAAGCATAAGTTCCTCCTTCACCAACCAAAAAATCTTACCATCCCATTTACAATGCCCTTGAATATCTTCAGCCTGCTACAGCTTCATTGTGCACGTTCACTTTTTAGCCCAACCAGCAGCCCCTGACAAACATACACACTCACAGAGACACAGAGAGAGAGAGAGAGAGAGAGAGAGAGAGAGAGAGAGAGAGAGAGAGAGAGAGAGAGAGAGAGAGAAACAGGACTCACCGTATGTGTTTCCATTGCTGGGTGGCTTAGGGTCGCTATCCCCAGGTTCATCTGAGGAAATAATAATTGAATTTGTTTTCTCTGTACAGGAAACCCTGCGGTCAAAAGGGTTATAAATACATGTAGTGCTACCTCTTTGCCTTTCTGTGAGCGTTTATATAAAGGGAGTGTATACAGACCCGGTAACCGGGAATAAAGTCACAAAGTATACAGACCCGGTAGGGGAACTCTTCTGTGATTTCGGAAAGTTTCAACGCCCTCTTGGCTCAGGGTAGACCTAGGTTCTTCTAGATCTATGGCCTTGGTCCGGATCTAGATAGACATAAATCATTGATCTAGTTTCGAGGCTAGCCTAGAGAGAGAGAGAGAGA